AAACCTTGTTATTACTAATCCAGCTTATTTCTAAGCCTTGATCCAGAAAGCCTCTTTATATACAGATTTTGATTTTTTTTTTTGGCAACACATCTAAATCATATCTAATTTATTCAAAGTTCTGACTGTGGTTTTTGGTCTCTTACAGCATTTCAACAAGTTGTACAAACTATGAAATTTTATGAAAATATGGCATTTACCTGAGGATATAAAAAACTGCTCTTCTGCTCCATCTGACTTGTTATTCTTCTCTTGCAATGGTCAGTCACCTATAAATGTTCTATCACACTTTTAAATCATTCAGTTCACTATCTTGTAGGAAAATAGATGAAGGCAATTTCCTTCTGCTCACAGTGGTAGCTTTATATGCCTAACTTGAACTCTTACTCTCAATGAACTAAAAGCATTTTAACTGAGCTAGTTAAAAAACATAGAAATGGCCAGTATTCTTGAAATAGCTACCCCAGGGCAGGAATCAATTGTACTGTTAATTTGAGAAAATCAGTTTCCAGAAAATATGAACAATGATCACAAATAAGAAAATAAATGTAACCAAAAGCTAATGCAATTAATCAAGGAGTTCTTTTCTGTGATGTCTTCTTACTGCCTGAAACATAAATGTAAATTTAGTATATGTCAGCTGTATTAATGAGAAGCCCAAGACAGAGTTTTTAACTATGAAACTTCAGTACAACTAGCAAATTGAAAATGTAAAGGAAAACCTTTGTAAAGGAGAAGAGGAAATCTGTGTGAACACATGTTTCTCCTTGGTTTATTTCTCACCAGCAGTTGCTGGTTCAACTGGATAACAGCTCTTTCCCAGCATCTTAAAGAACTAGTCAGCCTCACAGCCCTATCTTATGAAGGAAGAGAGAAGGCTGGTAGGACAGATACTGACAGTTTTTCCTCACTCTTAGAGTTGATCACCTTTGCTTTAAAGAACTCCAAAGGCTCTCATGAGTTTTAGTTTTTTTATTTGTCTGCTTTTTTGGAAGATGCTTGTGCTGGTTTTGACTGGGATAAGTATTTTTCCTCATAGAAGCTGGTATGGGGATATGTTTTGGATTTGTGCTGAAAACAGTTTTGATAATACAGAGTTTCTATAGTATATTATTTACATACGTATAAAATCTATATTACATATAATATAGAGTTTATACAGGTTTTTTTATTGCTCAGCATTGCTTACACAGAGCCAAAGCCTTTGTTGCCTCTCACCCCACTCCACCAGCAAGGAAGCTGGGAGAGCAGAAGGAGTTGGGTGGGGACACAGCCAGCACAGCTGACTGCAGTTGGCACAGGGGATATTCCATAGCATGGGGCATCATGAGCTTCATATAAAGCTGGGGGAAGGAGGAAGAAAGGGGTGGGGATATTCACAGTTGTGGCATTTCTCTTCCCAGTCACTGTTATGAGTGATGGAGCCCTACTTTCCTGGGAATGGGTGAACACCTGCCTGCCCATGGGAAGGAGGGAATGAATTCCTTGTTTTGCTTTGCTTGTGTGTACACAGCTTTTGCTTTACCTATATGAGAACACGAGTTTTCTAGCTTTTACCCTTCCAATTCTCTCTTTGATCCCACTGGTGGCTGAAGGAGAGAGCAAGTGTGGGGCTTGGTTGCTGGCTGGGGTTTAACTACAGCAATGCTGAAAGAATCTTCTCTTCTGCCTGTTTTCAATAATTGCCTTGTAATGGCAAGGAGCACTTCAGGAGAATCTATTGGCCATGTTAGATTATGTCTGACCACTAGACTGATGCTCTGAAGGCTTTAACTCATGGGATCCTGTGCCATAATTTTTCTTCCACTTCATTTACAATATTCTTATTTTTAGAATCAATGTGAGACAGACCCAATTATACTTGAAGTTCAGCAGCATAAAATAGGTGTCTGAATTTGACTCTTGAGTTATTCTAATCATCATTTTCACAATTTGACATAATTTACACAATGCTATTTGGTTTTAAACACCCCAGGCTCAAAGTCCCACGTTTAAAAGTCAGGTATTTTCAAAAAAAACCCACAAACATAAATTACTTGACATTATAGTCAAGTACCTCTGATATGTTATGTTCAGCAAATACAGAGTAACATGTAAGATTATATTTCTTTGTAGCTATATTCTCCATTATTATTTTTTTCTGAATGCTAGGAACAATATTCCAGAGTGAAGAGGGACTCTTTATATTTGTGGAAATTTGAAAAAGCTGCTGTAAATTTGAGTTTTTCTTTCCTAGCTGTATTTAAGTTAATTTCTATCTGTGCTTCACTGTACCTCTCTTGGCTCCTGTCCTTCAACAGTGATTTTCAGGCTCCTTGCAGATGTGCTCCACTTGACTGAGTCCACAGTGTTCCAACTACAAATAAGTGGGGACCTGAAACCATGGTGCTTTTCTGACAGGTTTCTTCGTGGGGGCTATTAGCAATGAGTTTTAATTGTTACAAAATTATTTTGCAAACTCTAAGTACCTGTCTGAAACTCAGTCTCCTAAATACAGGTCTACTAGGCTTTGTCTGGGATTTACTGGAAAGAAGCACCTTCATATGTGCAGGGAAGTAAGTCTGGTGCCATTATAACTCTAATGGTTTGAACACTGGTTGGATTTATTTTATTGTATATGCATGAAAAAGCTGTGCAGAGCAAATACAGTGAGTCTCTCAGAAACCTGCAGACACCTGGCAACCCTGGAAGCCTGAATGCTACTAAGCATACACAGTGGAGCAAGCCAGGCTAGTGGATGTCAAAAATCCCAGATGTGGATTTGTTGACCAATAAGGAGTTACAGGCAGTCCACAGCCAGACTCATGTTACTGTGTGTGTTCAACAGCAAACAGACTTGCAGTGTGATGATATCACATCATGATGTGCTAGCATCGAGAGTAAAAATTATTCTACAAAACAAAGAGTATCTTTGCAGACGGGTTATCATCTGGAAGAGGATATGTCCCACTCATATGGTGGCTCTGTTTAAATAAATAATAAGCACATAATGGCAGCAAAAAAAATATCAACAAAATATTGATACATACAGTCAACTTTAGTTAGGCAAGATACTGGGAGCTGGGATAACCCAGAGGAGTTGAAATGGCCTCACCAAGTCACACTTAACATAAGTTAAGCCTTACAGGTAGCACATTTTCCAAGAATGTCCGTCCTAAAAATATTTTTAGCTTAGAGCACCTTTGGATAGGTGTAATTTTGAAGGTATTAACTGAGTCATATCTAGAATTGTGACTAAAAAGTCCTTCAAGAGACTAAAATGTCCTTGCTTCTTTCAAGTACAGAAGTTGGAAGGAAAAGACCACCAATATCCTCAAGGAACCTCATGGTAAATTTTGACTTGCATATGTGTATACAAGTACTATACCCATATATCCCATTGATGTCAGAAGAATATCAGAGTTGAGACCTGCTGTGCATATCTGACAGGATTTTTTTTTTACTGGAAAGATTTCATAGTATCTAGAAGATAAAAAAATTGGTATGAGATTCGGTCATTGTTTCCAGAGCTGTATAATTAGTCTTAAATGTTCTAGTTACAGTCTTGCTGTGGATTTGCATGTGTAACTCCTGGTGATTAAAGCAAAACATGAAGAGCAGAACTAAGCTTTTGCTCTGTGTGGGAAGCAATATATGAAACTGTGCCCACTGAAATCACTGGGAGTATTTTCTTTTCTTTGCTGGGTCAGGATTTTCTCCCATGTCTGGCTAAGTACTCAATAGATTCATTTTCAGAGACTCTATTCCCTCTCCCTTTTCTCCTGGTTAGATAAGATAAAGTATTTTCAAGAAAAAAAAGTAAAAAGAGAAGTAACCCAAATAAATGCATAACTTTGATATCCTACTTCTCCCTGGCATAAAAGGAGAAAGAGAGGGTTTATGCTCATACTGTAGTCTTGATTCTAAATCCAATGTAAATATAGAATGAAATGTAAATCCGTTGGTTTTTTGTGTGGTGAATTTTACAACATTTTTATTATTGATTCAGTTATATGCTGGAAAGTGTCTTTCATTGAAAAATCCATAAGCAGTTGAGGAAGGAGTTGAGGTGATGTCTTTGAGTCTGCTAAAGTTCAAACCCCTTTTGTATGTAGCCAGATAAAATCCAGGAGTGGAAAAAATGACATATACCATGTCCTTCTCTGATCTCCAAGATTTTATGACATGTTTGCCTTTAGACTTCTAACTCCTTGGTTACATTTCAGTTGAGTTCTCCCACACTGTGTCACTGTCTTAAGTATTTTTCACTTTTCTAATGTCAATAGCTCTTCTGTTGAGAGGACTCAACAGGAAGTGGATGTAGGGAGTATGAGCTCTGATGAGATCCTTTAATCCACCCCTAATCCCACTCAATTAAAACTCCATTGATGACAGAAAAATCATTAAGTGCTGAAGAACAGGAAAATGAGTGAAAACAACCCTGCATGAGAAATTAGATGCACAGCTTTTAACAGGGGTGTCCTGCTCCTTCTGCAGCACACCTCCTTTCTGTGCCATCCCTGGCAAACAAAGCCCTTAAACTCTTACAGCTGAGCATGTAAAAATGTATAATCTAGTTGGCAGCTTAAGTAATGCAGCTCTCACTGTTCAGGGAGCCTTATGCACAGAATACGTAATATCACACGTCCCACTGCTAGGGGAGCCGAAGTGAACTGGAGGCTTATGTGAAGGGTTCATTCACTGACTGTTCTCTTCTATAAACACATAGCCCTAGTAAACTGTGCATCCCTGTTCAACCAATGCACTGCCGCTTATCTGTATATTTCTGTAATTAATTTTCACAGATGCAGTTTGCAGAGATAGAAGGAAAAGTACAAGTGAAAGTGACAAAAAAAGAAAAAAAGAAAAAAAGAAAAAAAACACCCCCCATCATTCTGTTTATAAATAAATTGAATAGCATTCTTTCCTATTTTTTAATGTAAAAAAAAAAGGATATTTTTTGTGGATATTTTTACATTTAGTGTGTCCATTTTTCTGCTTTGCGTCTTTTGTAATGAAACAGGAGGAAAAATAAACCAAGAATGCAATATTCGATTTTATCTTTCCCCTTTGCCACAACCCTCTCCTCCAAAACCTTCAGGTGGTTGGTAGGTCATAGTGAAATTGGAAGCATAGTAGAGGATGTATGAAGAACTAAGGAGCAGCAGATCTGAATGATATTTTCCACTGGGAAACGTGGGAACCATATGCTGTAAACGTTGAGTACAGTTAACATGGCTTGAAGGAGCATTAAATCCATTTATCCTGCATGAGCCCCCTCTTCCCAGAGTATACACACATGGGTCATGGAGCCAAAAGCAGTATAACAACCAGCTGGACTTTGTTAAAGGTTCTGGTGGTGGCCAGAGGAAAGCCTTTGATAAGTCTTTCTGCAAGTCTATGCTGAGAACTTACACAACTGCAGTCTTGATTTTTCACGGGTTCCCAATCTTTATTGTCCTCCTTTCTTGGCCTGAAATATCCCTGTTTGGAATCTCAGATAATCTTACAGACATAAGGAATATATGAGGTAATTCATAGAAACTTAAGACCCAAACATTTGTAGACTTCTTGGACGTATTTTGTTCCCCCTGTGTGATTTTTCACTGGAAGGAAATATGTAGGCTTCCATCTTTCTTCATCGCTGCTTAAAAATGGAATGGCCTGGTACTTTTCCAGGCAATCTGTGTGCACCTATAAACTGAAATGCAGCTCGTAAACATTAACCATGTTGAAACAATACACTCGCTGTTTGCAATCACATTATAAACAACTTAGATGTAAGACACAATTTGTAGACATCTGTAATGTCACTGCACGGGGAAACCCAACCTCCACACCTAAACCACAGAGTAATTATCAGCACATATATATTTTGACTTGCACATAAGCTTTCAAGTAATATGTATATCATACCTATGACATTGTTTTTAATAATGTCATTTTCATGAAATAGTGGTGGCATTAAAACCTCTGACCACTTTTACAGTCCTTTAATGCCTCTTCTCCCTACTTCTTTGGCACACACTCACTGCTGTCTACTTCAAACTGCAGATTGCCAGAACTTCTTTGCTACATGCTTAAGTGCCTTGTTCAACGCCTTGTATTTTAATTCCTATGTAGTGCCCCTAGGGGTTGCAGTAAAAACCATAACTCATGGGTCCTGACCCTTCAGATACTTTCTAGTACAAGTAATACCCACTAAGGCTGGTAAGCACGTCCAAGAGCAGGCTGATGATTTGTGCACTTGGCAAACAGAGGCTCAAGAGATTCTTTAGAGGTTTCACTTCATAAACAGGAGAATGTTGCCATGCTTGCATTCCCTGACATTTATTTTGATATAACGAAAAGCTTTTGAAAGATAGGCAGTTTCCAAGGATTGAAGTACCTTGCAAGTTGCTTGTAGATCTCTCTTGGACAGCTCAGAGTCGTCCTGCTTGCTCGTCAGCCTCCAGAGCTGTGGTCAGCTGCTGGTCATCAGCCTCAGCTGCAAAATTACAGGATCTGCAAATCTTCCACAACTCCTCCAAGTTCTATTCATAGAAATATACTAGGATCTACACTCAGTGGGTCTGGTGCCAGTGATAATTTTAGAGGGGACTTGGCTGGTTTCTTCCATCTCCTTTTTTGAACTGTTTTGATGCAGGTAACATAAGGTCAGAGTCAAGACCTTGTGGAACAATTTCTCTATCATATTACATTGCAAACTTGTTGTTTTTAGCACTTACTCAATGCTGTTGCAGAGCAGTCCACTAACAGACACTCTGTGTCAGTTTATTTTGTGTATTGTGAAATAAATTAAAAAAGGCGTCTCTGCTGGGTTTTTGCAGGAGAAAAGACTACATAATTTGATTAGCCTTATGAATAAAATTCTAGACTCTGATTTATTTTCTTTAAGTCAGACAGTGAATTTAGTTACACAGTCCTTCTCAGGAGTCAGAGAACACGTATGAGGAACATGACACTCAAACGGGTGCCTGAGGTGTCAGTTCCTTTATCAGCTCAATTACAGGTATCCTGGTTTCCCTCCTCTCAGTTTTCCCATTTCTTAGACATGGATGAAGTTCCTCATCAGTTGTATGAAGGCACTAAGATCTATGGGTAGTCAAGCTACTGTGATCAGATAAATTGTGGTCACACTTCACCCTGTGAAAGAGCCATTTGCCTGATGAATGAGGTTATTAGTGTTTATGTGTAGAACACCCACAAAGTCTACCTTTTGAGTAATACAAATCTAAATACTCTTCTAGAGTAAACCTAGATCTGTAAAATAAAATGTGTTTGTCTATCCAATATCTGCTGTTCCTAGACACCAGGATCTGTTTACTGATTACAGCTCTTTGACCCTGCATTCCTCTATGAACACAAATTACAAATGATGCAGCCTCATATGTTGTTTCGTGATCATGGTTAAGGACCTTAAGCCTCTAAGCAACACCGAGGAAAACAGAACAGGCTACAGGTTCCTCAACGTCTTTGCCATATGTCACTTTATGAAGCAAGGTGTTCAGTATGCTGCACCAGGGAGCAGTCCAGGAGTGTCTGCAGCACAGGAAAGCCCCAGCCTGTGCCTGTCTGGCGCCTAAGAGATGCCACCACTGCTGCCCAAAGCTGTGTCTCAGCAAGGCAAAAACAAGTTTTCTATCCTCATTTCCTCACTCCGCTAGCCTGCACAGAGAAAGTGTTGGCTCTAAGCAGGCACCATTTCCAATCAGCTATTGCAGTTGAGGAATAAGGGATTTTGAAGTTCTTGATTGTGCATGCAGCATGATCCTCTATGTAGCCCTGTATAATACAGGATAATGGATCGGTGTCTTTCTTCGTGTTGGTTGGGGGTTTTTTAAGCATAGTTTTGCCAGTCAGCATTACTGTCAGGCATTCGTGTCCAGCCCAAGCTGCAAATGCACCTACAAAATTGCTTGCCTGTGGAAAACATGAGTTAAGAGAGAAGAAGTATATACCTGTGGGATGGGTTGTGCTTCTGAGATGGTAAATCAGTAGGCCGTAGGAAAGCCCGAATAGCAGACAGAAAAATAAAATATTAATCAAAAAGTCAAAATTCAGGTCCTGTCTGGTAATTCCTTGGAAGAAAACAGCACCTATCCCAGAAACAGTTGATAAGGCACATCTTTACTCTATTTGCTGAGCTAGGGAAGACAGCCTAGCACTTGTCACTGATGTGCAGCGTAATGACAGGCTACCAAAGTCCCTGGTGCTTTTCTCCCTGTCACTGTAGATATAAGATTGGAAGTGATCTGGACAAAATTTGTGAGATGCTACCATTCACATTCAGTGAAATTAAAATGGTTTAAACCATTCCTAAAATACACTCATCTGCTGAGAATAGAAATACTGGGTCACTTTTGCCTGCATTTTGTTCTCATTTCATGCCAAGTTAGCACCGCAAAGCTCACAGGCACTGTATGCACCGAGCAGTAAGGAAATGAGACCACAGCCTTGACCTAGCACTAACATCATGAGTGAGATGTATTCCTTTACACCTACCTTGGTTTCAAAACCTCGTTTAACTCAGGTGAGTTAAACTGCTCTACTTGTATTTGCTGATTTTCAGCAAAATGGTCTTGTGAAATTTAACTTGAGAAGAGAGCAGAAGCTTCCGAGAAAGATTCAACTCAAAGTACTGGGAAAGGCCTAATTTCTTCAGGTCTACTCGATGAAAAATAAATTCCATTGAAAGCATGTGCGTTCCTAAGAACGTCTTATATAGAAAAGAAATTATTGGATATCATTCAAGAGGTCACTACCAAATGTCACTAGTTAATGCAAAAATATCCAGAGCTGTTTCTTAGGGACTGCTAGAGAGTTTTCACTCAAATTCCCAGATCAAAGTTTCATAGGAAAAAAAAAATCACTAAAAATAATTCTGCATTATTGTATAATATCATTATTTTAAAAATATTCATTTTGTTTGGACTTGGAATATCAGGGTTTGGTGACGTAAAAACAAAATACATCAAAGGGCTTTGGATACTCTCTTTGTATACTAATTTGGAAAAGTAATTTTCTTATTTCTTTTTTCTTCTGGAACTCACATTATTCTGAGAAAACTAATACAAGTCAAAACTTTCTGGCCGAAAGAAACATTTTTTTAAAGTATGCTCTTGGAAAATAGAGTTTTCTTTTTTTTTTTTTTTTTTTTTTGAAAAATGTATTTGCTATCAATTGCATTTAATGGTGTCCAACTATGAGAGAAAAAAATCGTAAGCATCTTTCCAATACGTAGTCAGATACAAGGACTAAAGGGGAAAAAAAAATCACAAAATCATACGTATAAAAAACCGCATTTAAAAAAAAAAAAAGATGAGCTGCATTATTTGTTCTTGTGGATTGTGCAACTTGCCTCTTTATGAGTTGTTGAATGACAACTTAATTTGCAAGTGGGAGAGCAAAGAGAATAATGTGATAATTTATCTCCAAATGAAGATAGAGCAATAGCATACACAAAATGAATCAGCCCCCTTCACGGACTGATTTTTAAAAGTCTTCCAGGAAAAAGTATTTTAGTATTTTTAAAAAAGCAGTTGTAGCCAGCTGAAAATAATTTTTCATCCTCTTAACAACCTTCTTACATGGGAAACTAATGCACCCCTTGCCACTTGATAGGGCAGTGTATGGGTGTGTTTAAGTTTGAGAGGAGAAGGACGTGTTTTAATATGCAAGTCTAATGGTGCTATTGGGTTTTTAAGAATCGAAATGATCTAACTGCTTTTCTAAAGCGCATCTGAATATCATGGTATTCAGAGACATGTTGTGTCTTGTTACATTTTTTCAGTAATGTAGAACAAGAACACAATAGCTCCAGTAAATCAAACTAAAATGAGTGATTAAGTACCTGATTTAATACTGTGCATTCATTTTAGTTCAGATGATCCTTGCTTTGTTGTATAATACAATTGCATACAAGACTACATCATTTGCATGCTACAGCAAGGTACATTATAAAAATAATCTTAAATTATCAAGACCTGAAAGGGAGCAATTGTTAGGAGACAGTGTCCATATATCAAAGACCAGTCTTTAGTGATGGGCTTCTCAATTCTTACTTAAGAGCATGTACTTCATTGCCTTAGTAATCCTTACTTTTTTCCTAAAATCCAGTAGCAGTTGCATCCCTTCAGATTTCTAGAGCCTTAGCCATTGCTGCTCCTCCTGCAAACTCTGAGTAACCTCTTACTTAGCAAGTTTTAAACTCTCCTGCATCTATCTCAAAACTACAGGTGTACTATATCACATCTTTCCAAAGGATTCAGAGCTAAAAGGAGAATTTCCTTCTAAAGTACTGCTTTAAAGTACTGTAGATCTACCTATCTCTCTGCAGGGTCTTCTATGTCCATTCAAGCGATTATTCCACCTCTCAGGCTTTTATCTTGGTTGGTAGTTGTTCACTGCTCCATCTGAAACCAGCAACTGGCTTTGGAAGCAAGGCAAAAAGCTCAGAGGTAAACACAGAGTGTATTAGTTACACTGAGTATAATTAAAACAAAAATGGGTGATTAGAAAGGTAGCTGATGTAATCTTTCTTAGTTCGTTGTGGCCATCTCACCACGTGTAGCCTATCCTGTGTTTATGATCCTGCCTCCCTGTGATCCTGCTGCCACTGCACATGGCTAATATGAGCAGGGCATAACAGCAAACACAGCAGCCACCAAGAAGAATTTCAGCGTTGTTGAAAGGCACCCAACCTGTGCTCTTTCTAAGCTATCTAAGGCCTTTTTACTGTAGATCTCTTCTTGCTTCTTGCCTTTTCCCAGTGCTGAAAAAGCCAATACATCAAAGTCCATTTTTATTGAGTGAAAGGGCTCCTCTTGAAGCCTGAGGGTCCCATCAGTGCCTCAAAGAACAGCCATTCAGCTTGGTAAGAACTGCTGCCCTTCACCTACCACCTCAGCACGATCCTTGAAATGCACCAGAAAGGCAAACCCTTTGGGCTGTTAAGCTGAGAAAAGGAAGGGCCATGCTGATCCAGCCTGAGTGCAAGGACAAATAAGGTAGTACATATGTGCCTGTCTCTGTGCACAGGACAAAAGTCTCAATGAGTGCCAGCGATGGGCTATGGTGGCCAGCTGGTTGCATTGCAGTGCATAATGTTTATAAGCTGGAAATGGGGGGTAGATAAACCATGAAAAAAGTATTGCAAAGAAAGATATAGGGATATATTGTTTGGTGATTATTAGGCTATGTAAGTCTTAACTACTCAGTAACAGTTTTATTTAGAGCAATAACAGATTAGGAACAAATTCTTATTCGTCACAACTTGTCATCCTCTGCCTATGATTGTCCCATTCTCTGTCCTCTTTGTAAAGAAATATTCCAAGAGCATCACAGAAAGGAGAACAATGCTGCATTCACAGAAACATGTGTCATCACACTGGGGGACAGCATTGCTTCATGCTCTTCATGTATCTGCTTTGTATAAACACAAGGATATTAACAGAAAAGCAGTGATTCCAGCACTGTCTGGTTACACTCGACA